TAACTAACTAACTAACTAACTAACTAACTAACTAACTAACTAACTAACTAACTAATATAAATAAAATAGTCCTCCTTTCCTTCTCTCTTGAATGGACAGTGCTGCAACCAAAACGACAGTGGCAGGAGTCATAAATATCTTTGTCATTACTGAGTCTTTCCATCTTTATTGTTACAGAAGATTAGGGAAAACATCTCTGAAAAGTTGGCATAATGCTCATGAAGCCGGCATCGCCGCAGCGGTGCAGAAGCCAAGAAAAGGGGTGTGGGCTGCACATGAGGCACTCTGCCCGCCCCTGCTTGGGAGGGCCTTTCTGCCTTGGGTTGAGAACACCTTCTTTCTCAGCTTTACATGTAAACATGGAGGCCTGTTGAGTGCTATGTGAGAACATGCTGTCATCTTGGGTTGATTTCCCTGAAAAGAGTGAGTCTCTGAGAAAGAGTGTAACAAAGACGTTTATTCCCGGGTGCTCCGGGAAAGGAAGGGACGAAAATGGCTCTGGGCTGCGGCTCACTCAGTGTCAGGCCAGTAGGAGGCTCTGGAGCTAGGTGTATCTTCTTGGTGGTTGGCTTTGGGCCAGGGTAGCAGGTCTCTGGACACCTGCATGGACCAGACTTCAGTGGCAGGAACCATCTCGGGAGAGATTCCACCTTAAGCCAGACCTCTCCCTCGGAAGCAACCCGCAGTGGGACTGTGCAATTTGGTCAACCACCTGATAGCCACTGTTGCCTCTGTGTCTGTCCTGTATGTATGTCCTGTTTCACACCTTTGCACATCTAATGTGCAATTATCAGACTTAACTAAACAGCCCTGCCATATCCTATTTTGCCCTTTTCTGCTATCGGGCTTTGTTTTCATTAATTATCAAATGAAATACTGAAATGTCCAGACTTGGTTTGGTGTGTGTTTCTGTGTTTCCTTGTAAACACTTCTATTCTTGATTCATAAAGAAATTCTTGTGAATTGCCATGGACAGGTAAGCAGGCAGATAAACGCATGAAAAAAAAAAAAAGAACAGGCAATTCACAAAAGAATCAAGAAACATGAAGGCATTCAGGTAGTAGCTACTGAATAATGTAGGCTAAAATAGGGGGCTCCAGCTGGGAATGAAGTTCAGTCCACAGCCTGCACGAATCCCTGGACTGGGTCCCAGGCACTACACAAAACATGCGTGGGTGAGCACACCCGTACTCCTAGTACTCGGGAGGACAAGGAGTTGAAGGTCATCCTCTGCTACACAGTGATTTCACAGGCCAGCCCAGGATACATGAGGCTTCAATTTAAGAAAGTAACACACACACGTGCAAAAGCTAGTTCCCTATTCAATTCTGAAGCAAATCTCATGTTAGGGAGCACATGACAAAAGACACACTAATGCTCTGCGGCTAGGAGTGTGAGAAGATACACATCATCTAGATGGACAAATGTGTCAAAAGTCCTGATGGCCAGTAGTGCGACTGGAGCCTTTCTGACTACTGGGTGCAGCTCTGAGCAATGTTTCCTTTTTCACCAGGAAATCTGGTGAGCACCATGGGAGGAGAAAGTAGAGGAGCTTCTAGAAGAAGGGGAAGAGAGAAACACATGGTGGGGAATTTTTCCCGAGTCCTCATGGGTAGAGTGGAGAGTCTTCTGAAGTGGGAAGGTTTCTCAGGAGGATGACACACAGGTGCTAGAGAAAACCTGGTGTAACTTGTGGCTGAGCTTCTGCAGATGGGGAGAGGAGAGTGAACCAAAGAAGGAAGAAAAGGTAGAACATACTGCTAGGGGTCTGGAGCCAGAGAGGATCATGGGAGCCATAAATTCTAGAGCAGAATTCACATTCTTGATGCTTGGACAAAGCCTGCTGAGGCCATGCCAATTGCCTACAGGTTGTGGTGCCCTTCTGAGGAAGAGTCTGATGTAGCTTTCCTATACTCCCTCCTCAGGGGATGAGGACCCAAAAGGCAACCGAGTTAACTCTCCTGAGTGTCAGTCCTTGCTGCATCAGCCACAGGGTTTAAGAGAAGAAAGAAGGAGTGTTGCTGTGTTGACACCATCAAGGAACTTGAGAAAGTGCCCTTTGAGGAGCCAGGGTAGTTCCTGGGCCAGCAGCAAGGTGAGTGCTTTAAGCCATTTCGGTACGGTTTGCACAGTTGCCTCGGGGAAGGGAAGAGGCCAAGCATTTTAGGATGTCCACTCTGTTCTGGTTGGCAAAGGGTCTTCAAGGAGGTCAAGACTGCAGACCATGGAGTGTGAAAGAGCAAAAAAGATATGGTCAGTCTTCAGAGTGTCTCTGTAACCCACAGCCATCTTTCCCTCAGAGTCAAAGCTGAGTTTTTACAGTGTAGCATGACTGAATGTTTGGGGCATTACTGGTGTTATTTAGGAGTGAGGGTAATGTGGCTGGGAGGATGAAAGACGGCTAGAATGATTTGGTTAACATTTGGAGCCTGATTGGGGAAATGGTGAAACAGCTAGTTAATAATTTATTTGACTGTCCAGAAAATGTTAACTTTTTAAGAAATTTCATTGGCTGGGACTAGAGAGATGACTCAGTGGTTAAGAGTGCTGGCTTCTCTTCCAGAGGATCCAAGTCTGGTTTGAGCCCACATGTTGAATATTCACAGCCACATTTAGCTTTAGGGCTGGGAAATCTTGCACCCTCTTCTGGCCTACCTGGGCCCTGCGCTCAAGGGCACATACCACAGAGGCACACATAAATAAAAATAAAATAAAATAAAACTACTCATTGGCATGGTAAAAGCAGACTGCATGTACTCCTTCAAAACTGAGAATGCCTGAAATCTTCAGAAGGTTCTCTCTGCATGAGCTCAGTATAGCTCACAAAAGACAATACTGGTTCCCCAGTGACGAGGTCTGCCGCTGAGCCAGAGACTGACTGGAGGGAAAGCCATTCCCTGGACAGTGCACATAGATAGACCTGTCTTAGTGGTGCTAATTCTCAAATGATCAAAAGGCCTTTTCTTTCTAATTAAGTTGTTATAGGTATCCATTTGCCCATTGGAGCCACTCACTGAAGGAATGTGGGAGAGCCTAAGGGGGCAGAGCAGGCAGAAGAGGAGGGCCTGTGTTCTGGAACTCCAGTGGGGCTCTGCTTTTTGAACTTTGAGCTCTGAAACCATTAATGGTGGAGTTCAGCCAATGACAACACAAGCTTTATTGAGTCAGTTCAAGGGTTGGATGGCCCCAGAAACATTGGTCCAAGAGATTAACTTCCTTATGGGGGCAGTGATTCCCTTGCAAAAAGCAAAACAGAATTTTTTCCATGTGTCTTCCATGGATTCTGCTTTGAGTTTCAGTTTGAGCTCCTCCCCTGACTTTCTCTATGATGGACGGAGACCTTGTAAGTTGAAACAAACCTTTCCTCCTCTTAAGTTGATTGTGGTCACGGTGTTTGTCAAAGAGACAAAACTCAAACTGGAACATCTTTTCTTACTGCTTTTGCCAGCATTTAGCCTGCCACATATCTATCTGTTTGTCCCACGCCCTTAAACCCAGCCCCTGGAAAGAATGGCGAGGAAGTCCCTTCTTTTTCTTGTGCCTTTCTGCTTTGGGCGGTGTCTGGTGCAAGGGCAGAAACAGTGGTATTTCTTCAATGAACAATTGGATGCAAAGAAATGCGTCTTCACCACCATGCTATTTATTACACAGAAAAACAAGAAGCTGATTTGCTCAAGAAAGAGGGGTATAATTAAATATATTATGGGATATTCTAAAATAGGATTGTAAGTCTTGATAATATATCTGACATGAAAATGCTCACAAAAGCTTTTTTTTTTCTTCTGCTCCCCAGAAACGCCCCAGAAGCTGCACCCTGACAGCAGTGCACGACGTCATCCTTGAGGACTTGGTCTTCCCAAGCCAAATTGTGGGTAAGAGGACCCGTGCGAAACTGGATGGCAGCGGGTTCATAAAGGTTCATTTAGACAAAGCACAACGTGGAGCACAAGGTTGAAACTTTCTCTGGTGTGTTAAAGAAGCTCACCGGCAAGGAGGCTAATTTTGAATTCCCAGGGTTTCATTTGTAAAGACAATGACTGAATAAAGTGTCATTCATAGTAAAAAAAAAACAAAAAAACAAAAACAAAAGCTCACAAAACGTTAAAGTAGGGCATGGAGGGCGTGAAATACACATCTTGAGTGGCCTGATTTTGGAACATGTACCTGTGTGGCTCTTCCTCCTCCTGAGGCACCTGTCACACACTGTGGCTGTAACTCTTGCAGTTGAAAGTATTATGGCAATATCAGTATGAATTTCTGTTTCCTTCTTTCAAAATTTTGTGGCTAGCAGATTTGTTCTTCCTGTAAGTCTTAACAACATCATCAAAAGAACTTTTTCTCATTAAATCAAGAACTCTTGTTTTTCGCTGTATGGCTTCTCTTTGGCTCAGTCACCCACGTCACCAGTCTTGTACTTTGGGGCTACGATTAAGCTGAAGAAGAGCACCTTGAATGCAAACCCTACAATACTGATGAGACAACAGGACAGACTCCAAAATGGCTAGCAGGATGGCAGTGTAGACAGTGGGGATACACTGGACAGAAATTTTTTTGTCCTTACCAGGATGGAGTGGGATGGCGTGATTTTATCACACTACTTAGAACAGCATGTGATTTAAAACATACAAAGTCTTTATTTTTGGTAGTCCCTATCTCCAGCACGAATTTAAAGGAAAAAGCTTTAGTGTGCTTCTGTGTTTCCATTCTCACCCTTTCTCATCCTCTTCTCCCTTCCTTTTATTTTGTTTTGGAGGGAAGACCTTGCTATGTAGTCAGAGCGATCCCGAACTCACAAGTTTCCTGCCTTTGACTCCCCAGTGCTGGGGTCATAGGGCTTGCTCTTTTCTTTCCAAGTTACTTGTGTATATTTTAAGGTATGAATAGAGAAAGGACGTAGATGGGTAAATGATACATTTCAGAATTCTCTAACAAAAGCAACTAAAATGAAGGGAAAACTAGTGCAGTGCACTCTGTGGGATAGTGCAGCTCTGTACTATGACAGTGCGAGCAGATCAAGCAAATTTCCCATTTGGCACATGCTGCACAGAAGGTGGAGGGCACCCATAGTGAGGACTTCCTGGTGTGCACCAGATGCTGAGCTGGTGGGTCTCAGTGCCTGCTGCCTGCAGATTAGACTCACCTAGACAGGTAATGATGCCCAGATGGCTTGACTCCACTCAAGTGTTCTACAGGGTGATAGATCAACCAGGGTTCTACAGAAAAATGGAACCAATAGTCTAACTATCATTCATCCTGTGTCATCTACCTACCTACCTGTGGGAGGCATCCTGCCAGTTGAAGCTGTGGTTCTCGCCCAATCAGGATAGCCATTCTGAGCTCGGTGTTAAAGACAGGACTTCCTCTTTCCCAGCAGAGCCCCTTGCTTTCTGCCTGACTTCATCAGGAGAGTGTCTTTAGACACATACATGCCTAATCACATTTGATGTATGGCCTCTGACACAGCTTCCTGCAAGCTCTCCGCTCCCCAAGCCTATATGATATGTTCCTATTCATATGATAGGAGTATGCTGTATAATGCAAATCAAGCATCCCTGGAGTGCCTACTTACAACCAATTATGCACACCTATTCTTGGGGCCCCCTGCCCACTCCCCAGGGATATATAACCGTTGTTCTCTGGAATTAAAGTCGAATTAGCCACCAGCTGGTTCCCGGAGTGTGTAATCCCTGTACCAGTTTGCCTGCCAGTCCGCCATTCCAGGCACCCTTCTTGTTTTGTGCCCCTTCTGACTTTGTAGGCTGCTGGGAGACAACCCCCAGGCAGGAGGAGAACCAACATCTGTCTGTCTATCTGTCTATCTAATCTAGTGTTTATTGTCTATCTACCTACTAAGCTACCTACTTACCTACCTATTGTCTATCCATCAATCTGCCAGTTTCCTCCCTGCCTATCTATTTGAGGAGAAGGTAGTGGAGTGATTGTGATGCTTTTATAGACCATCTACAAGCTTCAGACTCGATTCTCAATCATGGTCCAGAAGTCCCAAAACCTCAGACCTGGGAAGCCTCAGTCCCACCTAATGGTAGGACTCTCAGTCCAGATTAGAGGCTTGTGGACCAGAAGATTGGTTACTGAGAGTACTGGAGTCAAATCTAGAGAGCCTGGACTTCTGTCCCAGAGTAAGAAGACAGGGGTGGATAGAGAGGGGAGGAGAGGAGGCAGGCAGGAAGGAATGGAGGGGGAGAGAGAGAGAAAGAAAAAGAAAGAGGGGAGGGAGGAAAGGGAGAGAATCTTTGGAAAAGAAACACCTCACAGACACAGAGCAGGAAGTAATGCTTGACCAGCTCTCTAGATCTTTTATTTATTTTTCTTTACAAAGTATTTACTTTTATTTATCTGAGTGTTTTGTTTGAATGTCTGCGCAGCGTGCAGTGCCCATAGAGGCCAGAAGTGGGTGTCAGTTACAGATGGGTGTGAGCTGCTCCCTGGGTGCTGGGACTCAAAGCCCAGGTCCTCTGGAAGAACAGTGGCACTGGTAGCCACTGAGTCATCTCTCTAGCCTGTCTAGTTCTTCTTTACTTCAATCCTGTTGACACCTGAAATTAACTATCCCAGGTGGCCTGGGCTCTTTTTTTTTTTTTTTTAAGATTTCAAAATTTTAATTGCATGTGTATATGTTGGTCTGCTTGGGAAGTATGTGCACATAAGCTCAAGTGCTCATGGAAGGCACATTTCTAGTCTTACTTGGGGTCACCTAGAACTAACGTTATAGCTGGATTTGAGCCACTAGACGTGGACGCTGAGAACTGAACTCTCGTCTTCTGCAGGAGCAATATATGCCCTTAAATGCTGAGCTACCTCTCTAACTCCTAGACGTGTTACAATTTCCTGGTGAATGCAATGTGTAGCTCAGCTTGAGAATCGCAACATTAATTCATGATATATTTTACAATGCATAATGCAAGCATCATAGTCATTGTATAGATGAGGGTATAACAACTTGTACAGGATCAATCACATAGATAGACAGTGATGAACCTGGTCAGAACACAGGCAGTCTGGCTTTAAGGCTGATCTGTCTGCTCCTACATGCCACATGCAATGCCAGATGCCTGGGCTTAATGCTATTTATTGTATCATTTGACTAAAATATGAGCCAATAAAAGGGCATTATATATTCAAAAGTACTTTATAGCAGGCAAGGAACTATTTAAAGATGATAAATTGTTATTTCTAGTTTTACTACACCCCATTTGCATCCATTCTACTGAAGGAAGTAATATGAGACGTCATCAGTTTCATATGTTCATTTGAAAAAGAATCAGGCCTTCAATTCTGTTCTTTTTGTTTACTTTCTCCCCTCCACCTTTTTTTTTTTTTTTGAGGCAGGGTCTCATGTAGCCCAGGCTAGCCTCAAGCTTGCTATGTAGCCAGGGATGACCTTGAACTTCTGAGTCTCTCTTGCCTCTACTTCTGGGGTTTCAGGATACTAGATGTGTACCACCATGCCTGGTTTATATAAGACTGGAGATCAAAGCAAAGACTTCATGCATTCAAGGCAAGCCTGAGTTATATCGCAAGTACCAATTCTGTTATTTTTCTAGCCAATTATTACCATTATCATTATTAAGTATATCAATTTGAAATGAAACTGCCCTTGTCAGAAAGTTTGGGGAGGAATTTGGATAAAAGTAATAACTTGTGATTTGAACCAATGAAGTGTGTCTAAGCTTGTCATTAGTTGCAGTTTTTCTATACTACTGCAGGGTTTCTTTGCTGGCTTAGGTAGTATCTATTAATTATAACATACATGATACACCCTCTTTCTGTTCTTTCTCTGGGAATACCAGGTTGTCTAAGACATGCCAGTCCTACTAGGAGTTACTAGTCTAGTGAGAAGTCTCATACATGATTCAATAGTTATTCTAGTGATTCATGCATGACACAGGGTAGCAGAGAATGGGAAGGGAGAGGAACCATCTAGGAAGGGTATTCAAAAAGAAAGTGCTTGAGATGGGCCATTCTAGTCTGATAAGGGTTAGCCAGGCCAAGAAAGTGGGAGAGAGAAGTGCAAGCCAGCAATTCAGAAAACATGGAGGAGAGAGAGGGCAATGACAAGACAGCAGCCTGTTGGAGGATCAGGTTGAAGGACAGCTGGTCAACCATGGAGGCTAAAGGGCTTTTGTAAAGTAGTTTGGAGTTGAGTTTGTTGACCTAGCCTGGCAAAAAGTTTCCCCAGTCTCTGGGCCGATGCGGTTTGTCACTAAAGCTGCCATCCCTAATGATGCTGATGCTGTGGTCTCACTGAGACATCCTCCCCACTCTTGCAAGAATTTGTGTTTTGTATACAGAAGTCACTTTTGTTATCATTAAACACTCAAAACCAGAGAACAGAAAGGCAGAAAGAATACAGTACAGCACGTGGATTCAGTGCTGGATCTGAGTTTTGAATTTGCTCAATGCTCAGGTGCTGAGGATCTCCATTTGTTTTTGTGATCAGATGTCATGAAGGAATCTGAAAAAGGCCCAATCTTATAGGTGTGGGCAGGTCACCCAGTGAGTCAGGACAATTTCTGCTGTGACCACACCCCTCGGGCCACCAGGAATTCTCTTAGAAAGGGAATCTTCTATGGGACTGGAGAAGAAACAGACAAAAAAAAGTTGCAAAAACTCTCAGCATAACTTCAGTGGGCAGAGGATGGGGACAATAACTACAAGAATGGCACTTGATGGGGATGGAGAGATGGCTCATTGGTTAAGAGCACTTTCTAGTCTTGCAAGAAGACTCCAGCTTAGTTCCCAGAGCCCACATGGTGGCTCACAACTGCCTTTAACTCCATTTACGAGGGATCCAGTGCTCTCTTCTGGCCTCCTTGAGCCCGCACAGGAGGTGCACATATACATGCAGGTG